TTTGCTGTGTACACTGGAAGCGACGCGGCATGACACGACAATCCCCGACAGTAAACAGCTGCATCGTTCTATTTATAATTTGCTGATACAGAGTTCAAATGATTTTTAATGGTTGTGGTCTGGTGTAGACACGCTGTTGAAGTGTCTGTGTGGCGTGTGGAAGCTGAACAGTAGCGTTCAGTGCGGGACAGATGGAGGCGCCGGTGCCAGCATTGAAAAGCAAACAGGATGCGCTTTCTGCCGTCTCGGTATCTATGAACTTGAGTGCGAAACTCAGTGTATACTTGCCTTAAAGACATGTAAAATGTATCTATAGAGAGTGAAATGTATACCTTCAAATGAACCAATTCAAATGGAAAACAGATATTCTCAGAATATGTTATCTGTAGCCTATGAAACATGCATACAGGCGGATCCACTACTGCGGAGATGACGAGTCAGTGTCGCCGACTTCATCTCTTAAATCGAAAACAAAGAAAGCACTTTATCAATACATTATTAAAATGTTAATGCAGCCTCATGGTTTCTCCCTGAAACCTTCACGATCATTACTTCTGCTGATGTGCCGTGGCAAGCTTTATGCGTGTGCTTGAGCGCTTATTAGGCTAAACAATTAAAGTCCCCATGAAATCAAAATTAAAGTTTTTTAGGCGTTAGTATCAATATGATAGTCTTAAAGTTATCTATCTATAAGATTATCTATAAGGCAGTGTGCTCCAAAACAGTGACAAAATTCGCATTTAGAAAATATAAGTATTCAAAACTTTTAGTTTGTCACTTCCGCCAAAATGGCTCAACGATTTTTTTGACGTCACATCGTACTTCATCTTCTCAGCAAATCTTCTGACCAATCAAACACTCTCTAGAGACCGAAGTGCCCGCCCCCTGCACTATAAATAGACACTGAAGCTGCGGCTGAGATTGGTCGCTTGTTCACAGTGTAGTATTTCCTGTACAGTGAATGGTACGTAGAGTATAATGTAGGCGATAGGGAACAATTCAGATAGTGTAAATATGTTTCGATTGGGGCAAATGAGGTCTGGTTTCACATTGTGTCACACGAACCGTGGCAGTGCGCACATCTGATCCGGACTTTGGCTCCGGTCCAGAGATTTCAACTCAGAAAATAAACTACATTCACTATAGAAGATTGTATTCAAGTTATATTTGTATTAATTGTATTGCTTAATTTATTTAAGTGTATGAACAACACTCTACAGACTTTAAATGCATAGATGCAGGCAAATCATCCTATCCTGAAAACACAGAGTGGACAACTACCTTCCGCCTATATTTGGCAGGTCAACAGATTTGCCCATGATGAGGTATGACTTGCCTTCTACCAATGCTAAATGTTCTCTGCAACTGGGACGAGCCCAAAATTGTTTCACTTTCCCTTCAACACTATCATCAGTGCCTACAGGACAGAACAATGTTTACAAAACAATTATACTGCAGTGTAACTTAGCCTTCATTAGAGCATTAATGGAAAAGGACAACTGCATTTAACAGAAATCAGACATATTTCATATGAATTTCATGATCAGTGGAGAAACATGGAGGGAATAATGAACTTTACCTTCTTTCAGCACCTGCTCCACTTTCATCTCATAGGTGTCAGAGTCCTGTGTCAGATTTATCTTCAACACTTTGACTTGATAAACTGTCGAACATACATGTTATATTGTTATATACATATATGTTATATTGACTTCGGTGGTCATGTTTCAAGTCAAACTTTTTTTTTTATTGCATTGTTAAAACACAGCAGTGTTAATGGAATAGTTAACTCAAATAGGAAAATTGTCATCATTTACACCCTCATGTTGTCCCATGCCTTTATGACTTTCTTTCTTCAGCACAACAAAAACAAAAAGATATTTCCCATAAACAAAGAAAAACTCACTGATTCGTTTGCAGGGGTACTTGAGTTAACAGCTCACTGGAAGGGTTTAAAAGTGACTTAAAAGTGAAATTTGTAAAAGTGAAAGCCATTGTTTGGCTTCAGGAAACTTGGAATACAGTGCACAAGTCACATGATCTACTTTTATGATGTGTTTAGCATTTTTGGAGATTAACAGACATGGTCACAATGAAAGATGTCGCATCTGTTTTGGAAAACTGTTTTAAGCAACAATGTGCTGACTACTGTGCATTTTGTCTATGATTTATATTTTTAGATTGTGCACCTGATTTTTGTTATTTCAGGGGAGTGGGGTTTACCTGCACAGCATCTACCCGCTGGCCTCCGTTACACTCACCCCCCTAAACCTCACTCCCATCTGGGTCACGGCACCAATGTAACTCCTCTCTCCCGGATCCTCACCGCCACACCTCGTTCTTGTTCCGAGTGGGTCTCGAACCCGAGTCTCCGGCAGGGGAGGTGGACGCACTAAAGAGGAGGCTAAAGACTGTAGCCCCTAGTGTCAGTCGCTAGTGTTTACCTGCACAGCACCTACCCACTGGCCTCCTTTACATGAGGTCAAAACGGGCTTCCACACAAAGTTGAGAAATTAAATTGAGAACATGCTCGGATATCATCGAGGCCTAACCGTTAAATAGCACTGAACTCACATTCAGAAAACCGGACATCTTCTACAACTAAAATGCTGCTCCTCTAGTGAACACTAGAGGGAACCATTTCGCACAAAACAGTTGGTACCAAGAATTGGATGTGCATTCATTGCATTGACAATATTAGTCAAAGGAGCTGTCTGAACAGGGTGTGTTTGTGTGAAAGAGTGTGTCTGTGTAAATAAGACGAAGTTAGCTCAGCACATCCATGCTGATCACCCTTCAGTGTCAGACTCACGAGCGAGAGCAAACACATGAGCAATGGTGATGAGAGCATAAAAACAGTGATGAGAAAGCAGGGAAACAATAGAGGAAGTCCATTCCAGTGTTTCCTCTGTGTTTATGTGCTCAACCATCACTAGGTGAAAGTGTGAGTTCAGCCTATACATTATGAATGAACACACATTAGTGACAGGCCAGTTAAAAATAATATAAAAGTGTAAGAACAACATAGAATAAAACTATATAAAACAAAATAAAAGAGCATACAATGTCACGTATAAAAATAAGTGAGCAATTTGAAATACTTCCCTTGCGTCTAATTAAAATGAATACGTTTTTGAAACGATTCAACCTAAAGATTAGACTTGATCTACCAAAGGGCAAAATATTGTAGTTCTTATTGAGAATATGGGATTAAAAAGTGAATATTGTCATGTAGGTCACACACACACACACAAAGATCAGGAAGTGCTGTCTTGAGTTGTGTGCTAGTCGGCGGAACTGGCTGTTTGATGTGAGGATGTGTGTGTGCAGAAGTGTGTGTGTTGATGCACGTTAATAAAGGATCTAATGACTTTGGTCTGCTGACGCCCTGAACACCCCCGAATGGGCCCCAACATTCAAGTGCATCATGGGCTCCAGGATAAAGTAAGAATCTCTCCGTTTGTCTGTCGATTTCTCTCTGTTTGCTCACTTTGTGGTCTGCTGCTTACTTCCTCTTCCTCGCTCTGTCGTTCTCGGATGCGAGTCTTTCTATCATGTCACAATTCAGTGAATAAACTCGCAAACAAAAACGGCAACATTTGGAGAGTTCTGCAGGAGAACAGATGGACAGTTTGCACACTTTTCCACACCGAAGCACCATCTCTCCCTGCTTAATTTCAGCTGGCTTGTGAAAATGCATAGCATCCTCAAAACTGCTTTAAATCTGAATGTCACTGAAGTAGAAAAACATCAGATCAAGTACCTCAATGCACTTTTCTTCATCAGTTCTTAAGTCTCGATGCGTTCAGATCAGCTGCTGTTCTGGGCATTTTTAGTAGCTGTATGAAGTCAGTTCTCAAGTTCACACAGGTGTGGAGAATCACATTAACTATCAACATATAACCATCTTCAACACTACATCTATTGGTTTCTTGTCTCTTGGGAGTGAAAAATAAAGAATACGATCTCTTACAACTCAATTGCAAATGGAGTCTGATTTGCCAAAGCCAAAACCTGCGATTAAAGATCTCAATTTGAACATTTCTCATCACATCCTTGATAGTTTGTCATTTAAAAATCTCCTTTGGTTGGTTTTAGCAGACAAACATTCTGTTAGGATCATTGCATTTGCATAATTCAATTTTAGACAGACGGCCAAACTCATAACTGGAAATATTTTCTGTTGATGCGCTTCTTCTAATTTAGTAGTCAACCACATCCTGCTCCACCAATGAAGCGCCTTATTAAGATCTTGTAAGAAGAACAGCAGAAAATGATTCAAAGTCGATCGCATTCAGTCGCTGGTCATTCTTACAGTGTTAATGCTTCACACATCAGATGAGTGTAATGTTTTGTTATGATGACTGTTTTGCTCATGGTTTTGTTGTTCTCAGAGAAAACCCTGAAAAAACATTCTACTGGTTCTTTCAAGCCTCATGTCCAATCGCCAGAGATAAAGGTGGGTACCACACACACACACACACACACTGACTAACTGATGTAATAAACACACACTCACAAACTGTCTCTTCTGAGAATGGCTCTTCCTGTCACATGACTGAACTAGAAAAAACACACATCAGGGCAGATACACACACTCGTCAGAATGAGAAAAGTCAGAGGAACTAGTTAGTATGCTGTGATCTGCTGACGGGTGAAAGGAAGCACACCTTCCGGGTTGGACCGAGCATAGATGAGGTCTGGCTGAGCCGGACTGGTTACCCTGCGTGGCTAACTTTGACCTGACTTTAACCACATCCTCTACTTGTGAAATGAAATACACCCAAAAACAAATGAGTGATGATTTATGTAGCCCCTTTTATTCATTCACGGTCTGCTTCTCATGGCCACAATCACTTTCAGTTTTCAGGTCTCATTATAAGGTGTATGTTACACTTATAACCTGGTTTTAAGTTGGAATAGTTAGCTGTAACTACACATAAAACTCTTTACCAGCTATTTGACATGACTGAAGTGCAATTTCTCTCTCAACACAGTTATTTGCCCTGGTTTGAGGTCTTCTACAAACTTCTGAATAATCTAGCCGACTACTCAACGAAAGGACAGGTATGATTTTAACGGTCTCCTAATGATCTAAAAAGCCATTTATCTAACACCATTGCATTGATTCGAACGCCCTGCCAGACCAACGAGATGAAGGAGCTACTCTCAGTCCTCTACAAGCACCCCATGCCTCCGGCCAATGGCTCCATCACGCTGCAGATGGTAAGTGCTCATTGGCTGGTGGAAGTTCTGTTTATGACATCACGTGTGACATCACAATCAGGTTGGTGTGTTCTTCACTGAGGGAGGGAAGCTAATGATTGGAAGCCATATGCCTGGCATCTGTGGACACGTCCCTAAAGGGGAGGAGTCAGAGGGGGTGAGTCCCTGATCCGCATTAAAACCAGCAGACCGGACTAAACCGTCACTCCAGCATCTAATAAATTCTAATGCCATCCATAATGTGAAATCGAACTAATCCAGTGTCCAAAACTAACCCTGGATTTCTAACAACGCTTAACTAAAACACTAATGGGTCCTTTTGAAAATATCAATAACAAAGCATTCATCCTAAGAACCTTGAGATCAGACTAACTCGAAGGCCTTACTTTCACGGTTTCATGGTACTGACTGTTTACTTTTCTGGAATAATGTTTCCTCCCCATTAGATCCCGTACTTCATCGCGCCAGATCCCAAAGCCCTGCCCTCTATTCCAGAGAGTGTGAGTTTTTCTATTGTTTCCAATATAATTTTTTTTTTATTTTGTGGGGTTTATTTGTTTGTTTTATTCCTCTGTTCTTATACACTACTGGTCCCAAAAGAAAAAAAAGAAAAATTTATTTGATCAGAAAATAGAGTAAAATGGTAATATTGTGAAACATTATTACAATATAAAATAACTGTTTTATTGATAATTTATACCTGGATTTTCTGCATCTTTACTCCAGACTTTAGTGTCACATGATCCTTTAGAAATTTGTCTAATATCACGGTTTCCACAAAAAAATTAAGCAGCACAACATTTTTTTAACACTGATTATAATCAGAAATGTTTCTTGAGCAGCAAATCGTCAAATTAGCATGAATTCTGAAGGATCATGTGACACTGAAGACTGGAGTAATGATGCTGAAAATTCAGCTTTGATCACAGCAATGTATTATATTTCACAACATATTACAACAGAAAACAGATATTTTAGGTTGCAATCATGTTTCACAATATTACTTTTTTTACTGTATTTTTTGATCAAATAAATGCAGCCATGGTGAGCAGAAGAGGCTTCTTTCAAAAACATGGAAAATCCTAATTTTTCCAAACGTTTGACCGGTATGTATGTCTGTGTGTGTGTATCAGAGGAACCTGACAGAGCTGGTGGTGGCGGTGGATGTGGGAAACCTGTTACAGCTCTACGCCAGCATGCTGTTTGAGAGACGGATCCTCATTTACTGCAGCAAACTCAGCACTGTGAGTTCAGCGTGCCTTTGTGAATCAGAACTGATAACGCTTGGTTCACAAGGCAAAATCTTAAACTCGTGCATCAGTAGGGCATGGGTTTAATTCCCAAGGGAATGCATGCACTGAAATGCACAGCTTGAATATAGTGTAATTCCCTTAATGTGATAAAACACATCATTCCATTTAAAAATAACTATTTCAAGTGCTTTATTCCACAACAAGCACATTACACATCACTGCCTTGATGACCATTTGGGAACTGCATACGTACTGTGTGCAAAGGCACTGCGGTGTGGTTTTTCACACCAACCAACCAAACTGAAAAATGGTCAAAT